CTACTTTGTCAGTGAGCCATTGAACCTCTTTTACCATTTTTGGAGACTGCATTTCTATCAAGGCCTTGATCTTTTCGAGATTGGCTTCAATACCTCTGTGGCTGAACATGAACCCTAAAAACTTACCAGACCCAACGCTAAAGGCGCACTTCTCTGGATTGAGCTTCATCTTATACTTGTGCAAGGCCTAGAAGGTTTCTCGTAGGTCAGTTAGGTGATTTGAGGAGAGTTTTCTTTTGACGAGCATGTCATCAACGTAGACCTCCATATTCCTTCCTATTTGATTTTTGAAAACGGTATTAACTAGCCGTTGGTAAGTGACCCCCGCATTCTTTAAATCGAAAGGCATCATACGGTAATGATAACTCCCTTTATCAGTAATGAAAGAGGTGTGCTCCTGATCGGCTGCATGCATTAAAATTTGGTTATAGGCTAAGAACACATCCGTAAAACTGAGCATCTGGTGTCCTGCTGTTGCGCCGACCAATAAATCTATTCTAGGTAGTGGGTAGTTATCTTTAGGGAAAGCTCGGTTGAGGTCGGAGTAGTCGACGCAGAGTCTCCATTTGTCGTCACTTTTCTGAACCAGTACCACATTGGATAACCACTTGGAATAGTTCACGTTTTTAAGGAATTGGGCCTTCAATAGCTTGTTTACTTTAGTGGCGATGAGATTGTTGCGCTCTGGATGGAAAATGCGTTGCTTTTGGCAGAACGGTCAAAATTGAGGCTTGATGCTGAGGCGATGAGTAATGAAAGAAGGATCAATGCCTGACATGCATGAATGAGTCCAAGCAAAGACATCACTGCGCTCAGTTAGGAGAGCCGTGAGGTCGACCTTGGCCTGAGGAGGGAGCTGACTACTAATCTTAGCCTTCTTCGTTGGATCATAAGCATTGATGGGCACTTCTATTAACTCTTCCACTGGTTCTCCCCTCATTAATTCCTTCTCATCCCTGACGTCAAGAATTTCTATGATCATAGCTTCTTTCATTTTTACTTCTTTTAACGAAGCGACGTAACATTCTCTAGCCATGGTCTGCTCGCCCATGACGGTGTTGACCTAATGATCGGTCGAGAATTTTATTGCCGGTGATAAATGGACATCACAGCTTGGAAAGCATTGAGAGTTATCTGTCAAAGTATGACATTGTAGACGGAGGGGCAGTCAACAACCAAAAAGGTGAGAATCTTCATAGTCTGCCTTGGGTGCTCGCTGATAGTGATTGGCAGGTCGCTGGACTCGATAGAGATTACCCGGTCTCTAGTGAAGCCCGCTAAGGGTGTTTGCAGAGGTGATAATTTTTCTTCACCAATCTGGAACTACTTGAAAGCATTGAGGAAGATAATGTCTGATGAGCTACCATTGTCGATGAGTATATGTCGAACTTTGTAGTTGGAAATGAGAGAGGAAATGACCAGTGGGTCATCATGAGGGTATCAGACGCCTTCACAATCTGTATCTGTGAGGGTAATCGGTTTCGACCACTGCTTGGGTTGCTTAGGAGGTCGATCGACCATTGTTACTTCTTTGTCGGACCCTTATCTAATTCGTCAGAGCTCAGCCCACTGTGTCGACCGAGATGATTCGCCGTACGTAAGTCCACCTGTAATGACCCTGATTTCTCCAGCTAGGGGAGTAGGTGCTCCTGGAGCTTGAGGTTGGTGTTGGGTTCTATCATCATTTTGCCGGGGTTGATCAGCTGATCTTGGTGGAGTACGTCTGTCAGTCTGCTTTGGGGGGTCGGTTCTGGCCTTTTGGTGAGATCGGGACATAGTGAACCGAGTTAAGCATCCTTGACAGACTAGGTCCTCGACCTGATCCTTAAGATTGATGCATTCATTCATGTTATGGCCATGGTCAAGGTGGAAACGGCAGTTTTGGGATTGATCCCGTCGGTTTGAATGAAACTTGAAAGGTTGGAGCCATTTCAAGTTGTAATCTTGTTGGATTTGGTTTAAGACGTGCTCCATTGGCGTGTTAAGAGGGGTATACCACTTGAAGCGACCGGGCAATCAGGGAGGAGCCGCTTGGTCGGAGCGTAGAGGTCGGTTGGGATGAGTGTATTGGGGATGTCTAGCTTGCGACTCTTTTCTCTTATCTTTGGGTTGTGAGGGTTTAGGTGTAGAGTCTTGGTAGGCTGCCTGTGACGACCCCGACCTCCAAACTAGTACATTATATAGTTTTAATGAGTTTAATTGCATGATTATGCGCTTGATTGTGTGATTACATGTTTAATTCTATAATTATCTGTTGATATATCGAATATCTGTTTGATATGATGACATATAGTCGAAAATTGGGAGCCTAACCGGCTTCAGAAACTGAAATTGACTAGCCCAATAGGCTAATTGGAATATTTAGAATTTTATGTCAACTTTAATTGAAATTTGATTTGAACTAAAATAATTAGAATAAACTGATTGACTTAGTTAGAATTAAGTCTAATTAATTAATCCTAACCACCTTTGATTAGGCCAACCTAATCACACCCTATATAAGACCCGAATTAAGCTTATGAATTCATTTTTATGTACACACTTAGCTAAGAATTGAGAGAGAGGAGAGGAGAGCTCAAGATTTAGAGAGAGAGTGAGGAGAATTGTAGAGATTTAGAGGGAGATTCAAAGATTGGAGCCATAACACACCTGAATTCAACACTAGGTATGGCATTCATCACTAATTCATGTAGATAAGGCATGTAATAGTTAAATTCCTCTCATCTTTAAACTCATTGGCATGTTATTGAAGAAAAGAAGCTATGAATATCAAGAAATGGAAGAATGGAGCTGAATAGCTTACATGCATGCATATTTGAGTTGGAATTTCATGGAATTCATTCATGCATGGCACAATTATACATCATTTTAGAGAACCCACCATGTCTTCATGCCTCTCATGTCACTTGATCATATTTTGAACATGGTGAAATGTATACTCAAATTGAGTTAGACTTATTTTACAACTTGAAATTGAAGTTAGTGGTTGAGAAATTACCATGATTTTGAATAAATGGGTTCAAATTGAAAGCGTTTTCCTGTTACATACTGACTCTCCATGTTTTTATACCAAAAACACAAGATTTGAAGCTTTGAAAACCATGTTTGAATTTCAAACACAGTTCTGGAAATTCCAGAATTCGTGATGTCCGCTCGAGCGAGGAAAGCCACGCTCGAGTGTGGAAATCGAGCTCCCAGAAGTTTCTGAAATTTTATAGTCCGCTCGAGCGACCGAAGTAGACCTCAAGCGAGGACCCTTTTTCTCAGTTTTCCGCTCGAGCGACCATCGAGCAGGAATTTCTTGTATCTAGTACTTTTGCAGACCGTTCGAGCGACGGATGTCACGCTCGAGCGACCACCTATGTTTTGAACCCCCACTCGAGCGTGGAAAGTTGCGCTCGAGCGGAGACCCTGTTTTCAGCAAAATTCTACAAACTCTTTTAAGTGCATATTTGCATCCTTATGCCACTCCTAGCATTCTTAGGCACCTTTTTAGGCTCATATAATCATACAATAAGTTAGAGAAGCATGGAGAGAATTGAATTAAAACGAATGGAGTTTTATTTGTACCTTGTTATGTATTTTGTTTAGGTGGACGACCAAGGCGTAGTGACAACTCAAACCACTGTGAGTAATAAACTTATAAAGTTATGTTCAAATTACTTTTATTTTCAAAAGCGTCATTATTATCGGAATCGATGTGTGAATGGGCTACTGAAACTCTAGTTCTTATAAATGAATGAAGTTCCCTTTTAAAAATGTATTCATGACTCAACCATTGACCCTTGCTTGGGGGAGATTAATACCATGGCACATTGACCCTTGCCTAGGGGAGATTAATATCATGGCACATTGACCCTTGCCTGGGGGAGATTAATACCATGGCACATTGACCCTTGCCTAGGGGAGATTAGACTTCCGCTAAGCCCCGTACTTTATATTATTTGTTTATTTGTATGGAGGCCGTAGGTGATCTATGATTACTGGCCGGTCATGACGCTAAACCTATAGGGGTGGGTTTGGGTCATGACATAATGGTGTCAAAGCAGGAGTTATATCTCACTCACTTGTCCATTGAGCTATAGAGGGTCTAGAAGAGAGTTCAAGAATGCATTCATGTGCATTGATATGTTAAGTAAGATAACCTTGTGATGGTATATGAAATTGTGTGCATGACCATGCGTATCTATATATATATTGTGTTTGTTATAATACAAACTTTCATATAGAAAATGGTGAGAACCAGAGGTGATGAAATAGAGGAGGCAACCTCCTCAAGACTGGATAGAATGGAACGGATGATGCAAGACATGGCTGAAGCCATAAGACAACAACAGCAATGCCAGCGACAACAACAACAACCACCTCCCCCACCTCAAATGCCTGTACCACCTCCAGCTCCAGGGTGTCAGCCAAAAACTTGCATTGTTGCCTTGACTAGAGAATTTAAGAAGATGAAGCCACCGGTGTTTCATGGGGGAATTGAACCATTGAAGGCCGAAGCTTGGGTTTTGGGGATTGAAAAATTGTTTGAGGTGTTTCCGTGTACCGAAGCCCAGAAGGTGCAACTAGCTAAATTCACATTGGAAGATGACGCAAGGTGTTGGTGGATGTTGGTTCGAAACGATAATAAGGATGTCACTTGGACCCATTTTCTGGAAATTTTCTATGAAAAATATTTTCCACAATGTGTGCGGGATAGAAAAATAGCTAAATTCATGGAACTCAAGAAGGGAAATAAGTCAATTGCTGAATATGAGGCTCAATTTACAGAATTAGCTCGCTTCGCACCCCACATGGTAGACACAGATTACAAGAAGGCTAGACAGTTTGAAGGAGGGCTACGTGACCCAATTCCAGATAAAATTAATGTACTCAAATTGCCGACGTATGTGGATGTACTTGACAGGGCACTAACAGTGGAAAGGAATGTGACCAACTGAAAGCAAAACTTTGAATGGAAGGGCAAAAAACAGAATTTTAACAAGGGGACCACGTCAATGAGCAAGAAGTTCAAGTCGGGGAGTTCTGATAATACTGGTTCAAGCCAAAGTGGTAACTCAACACCAGCTTGTACTACATGTGGAAAGAAACATGGAGGTGTATGCTATTGTGCGACAGAGGCTTGTTATCATTGTAAGAAGTTTGGGCACATTGCCAAGGATTGTACACAACCACGTCAGAGTGGCAACCGAGGTGCGACAAGCTCGATTAGGTCAACTTCCACAACAAAACCAGTTGCAGCATCAACTGCCACAAGAAATGATCAAAGGCAAGAAAGGGTTTTTGCATTGATTCCAGGGGACACTCAAAATACTGAGGCCGTAGTGTCAGGTACAATCTCCATTTGTGGTAAACTTGTTTATACTTTAATTGATTTTGGGTCTACACATTCGTTCATTTCTATGGCTTTTGCTGAAACTTTGAATAGACCTATGGAAACATTGAATTATATACTATGTGTTGCATCACCTACGGGGGGATCCATGCTATGTTCAACTGTATTTATTGCGTGTGAATTATTTCTCGAGAATGCTACTCTGTATGCTGATTTACCTTTAGACATGGGACAATTTGATGTTGTTTTGGGAATGGATTGGCTAGCTAAATATCATGCGACAATTGATTATGTCTTGAAACGAGTAATATTCCGACCTCCCGGGCAAGAGGAATCTTATTTTGAGGGAAAATGGGTAGTCTCACCACCATACCTTATATATACCATGAAAGCTTGAAAACTAATGAATAAGGGTTGTCAAGGGTATTTGTGTAGTGTGATAACTGAACCAACGGTAGACATTACTCTAGACAATATACCAGTGGTGAGAGATTTTCCTGATGTGTTTTCGGATGAATTACCTGGCCAACTTGTTGATAGAGAGATCGAATTCACAATTGATGTAATACCAGGAACTCAACCAATTTCTAAAACTCCCTACCATATGTCTACCACTAAAATAAAAGAATTGAAAATTCAGTTGTAGGAATTGTTGGATAAAGGATTTATCAGACCAAGTACATCCCCATGGGACGCACCGGTACTTTTTGTTAAAAAGAAAGACGGCACTCTCCAATTGTGCATTGATTACCGAGAGCTCAACAAGGTAACAGTGAAAAATAAATACCTTTTGCCGCGTATTGATGATCTGTTTGACCAGTTGCAAGGCGTACAGATATTTTTGAAGATTGATTTGAGATCAGGATATCATTAATTGAAGGTTAAGGCCGAGGATGTTGAAAAGACAGCTTTCTGAGCCAGGTATGGACATTATGAGTTTTTAGTCATGCCATTTGGGGTTACAAATGCGCCTGCATCATTTATGGATTTAATGAATAGAACTTTCAAACCTTTCCTAGATGACTTTGTTGTTGTATTCATTGATGACATCTTGATCTATTCGAAAAGTAAAGTGGAGCATGAACAGCATTTGAAACTGACTCTTCAAACTCTTAGAGAAAAACAGTTGTACGGGAAATTCAAAAAGTGTGAATTATGACTTGATGAAATTGCATTTTTGAGGCACATTATTAATAAGGATGGTATATAGATGGATCCTTATAAAATTGAAGCTATTATTAACTGGCTTACTCCAACTAATGTATCAGAAGTTCGTAGTTTTATGGGATTGGCAGGGTATTACCGAAGATTCGTTAAAGATTTTTCCAAAATTACTGTGCCATTGACTCAATTGACTCGAAAATGGGAACTATTTGAGTGGACGGATCAGAGAGAAACAACCTTTCAAGAGCTGAAGACAAGACTGACTGCAGCCCCAATCTTCACTATTCCCTCAGGTATTGAAAATTTTGTGATTTTTAGTGATGCATCCTATAAGAGCTTGGGTTGTGTTTTAATATAGAATGGCAAGGTTGTTGCATATGCCTCTTGATAGTTGAGAACCCATGAAAAGAATTACCCTACACATGACTTGGAAGTTGCTGCAGTTGTGTTTGCATTAAAGATATGGCGACACTATTTGTATGGGGTCATATGTGAAGTATATACAAATCATAAGAGTTTGAAATACTTTTTCACTCAGAAGGAGTTGAACATGCGTCAAAGGCGATGGCTTGAATTAATTAAAGATTATGACTTACAGATTCACTACCATCTAGGCAAAGCTAATACTGTAGCGGATGCACTTAGTAGAAAGAATGTAGGGAATCTTGCTTGTTTACTCACAAGTCAAAGAGAGCTGTTGTTAGAGTTTGAAAAACTCGAAATTGAAATGGTGCCTTTTGAACCAAATGGCTTGATAGCCGCCATATTTTCCCAACTCGCTATTATTGAAGAAATTAAACAGAAACAGTTGGACGATGAGTTTTTGGAGAAAATTTGTGATAAGCTTGACGCCAAGCCTAAACCGGGGTTCATAATTGAAGACTCCGTGTTGAAATATCAGGGGAGGTTGTGTGTCCCAAATGATGTGGATTTGAAAAGGAAAATTTTGGAAGAAGTTCGCAAGTCCATGTTTACTATGCATCCAGGAAACACCAAAATGTACCAAGACTTAAAGTTAGTGTATTGGTGGCCCAACATGAAAAGGAAAACTGCCGACTTCAACTCTAAATGCTTACAATGCCAGCAGGTAAAAGCAGAACATCAGAAACCAGAAGGTTTGCTTCAATCTCTCCCTATCCCAGAATGGAAATGGGAACATATCACCATGGACTTTGTTGTTGGCCTACCTCGGACACCTAGATGTATGGACTCTATTTGGGTTATAGTTGATAGATTGACTAAATCTACTCACTTTCTTGCTATAAAGACTTCATTTACTGCTTATAGACTTGCCACTATCTTCATTGATGAGATTATTCGACTACATGGGGTTCCAGTATCTATTGTATCAGATAGAGATCCTAAATTTGTTTCTAGATTTTGGCATAGTTTGCAGGAGGCAATGGGAACAGAATTGAGATTTAGTACAACATTTCATCTACAAACTGATGGGCAAACCGAGAGAACTATTCAAACCTTAGAAGACATGCTTCGTATGTGTGTAATGGATTTTCAAGGAAGTTGGGAAACTTATTTTCCATTAGCCGACTTTGCTTCTAATAACAGTTTTCACACGAGCATCGATATAGCACCATATGAAGCACTATATGACAGGAAGTGTAGATCGCCAGTTTGTTGGACAGAAGTTGGTGATAGAGCTATTTATGGCACTGAACTTGTGCAAAAAATGACTGAAAAGATCAAAATCATTCAGGAAAAGCTCAAAACTGCATATAGTCGACAGAAAAGCTATGCAGATCAACGAAGAAGGGACTTAGAGTACGAAGTGGGAGATCATGTATTCATCAAGGTGACCCCAATGAAGAGGCATATGAGGTTTGGCAAAAAGGGAAAACTGACTCCTCGCTACATTGGACCGTTTCAAATCCTTGAGAGATTGGGTCCTGTTGCTTATCGTATTGGCTTGCCACCGGGAATAGAACAAGTGCATAACGTTTTAGATGTATCCATGCTTCGTGGGTATCTTAGAGATCCGTTTCATGTGATTGATTACCACCGGATTGCTCTAGATGAAGATATGATGTATGAAGAATGGCCTCGTGCAAATCATTGACCGGCAAGTGAAGCAATTGAGAAACAAAACTAATCCTATGGTGAAGGTTGATGGAGAGAACACTATGGGAAGGAGGCCACTTAGGAGAAAGAGGAAGAGATGCGGCAACGATATCCGCATTTGTTTCCATCATAAGGTAACTTAAGTTTGGAGGACCAAACTTTCTAAGGGGGAGAGACTGTGACGACCCCGACCTCCAAACTAGTATATTGTATAGTTTTAATGAGTTTAATTGCATGATTATGTGCTTGATTGTGTGATTACATGTTTAATTCTATAATTATCTGTTGATTTATGGAATATCTGTTTGATTTAATGACATAGAGTCCAAAATTGAGAGCCTAAACGGCTTAAGAAACTGAAATTGACTAGCCCAATAGGTTAATTGGAATATTTAGAATTTTATGGCAACTTTAATTGAAATTTGATTTGGACCAAAATAATTAGAATAAACTGATTGACTTAGTTAGAATTAAGTCTAATTAATTAATCCTAACCACCTTTGATTAGGCTAACCTAATCACACCCTATATAAGACCCCAATTAAGCTTATGAATTCATTTTTTATGTATACACTCAGCTGAGAATTGAGAGAGAGAAGAGGAGAGCTCAACATTTAGAGAGAGAAAGAGGAGAATTGTAGAGATTTAGAGGGAGATTCAAAGATTGGAGCCATAACACACTTGAATTCAACACTAGGTATGACATTCATCACTAATTCATGTAGATAAGGCATGTAGTAGTTAAATTCCTCTCATCTTTAAACTTATTGGCATGCTATTGAAGAAAAGAAGCTATGAATATCAAGAAATGGAAGAATGGAGTTGAATAGCTTACATACATGCATATTTGAGTTGGAATTTCATGGAATTCATTCATGCATGGCACAATTATACATCATTTTAGAGAACCCACCATGTCTTCATGCCTCTTATGTCACTTGATCATATTTTGAACATGGTGAAATGTATACTCAAATTGAGTTAGACTTATTTTACAACTTGAAATTGAAGTTAGTGGTTGAGAAATTACCATGATTTTGAATAAATGGGTTTAAATTGAAAGTGTTTTCCTGTTACATAGTGACTCTTCATGTTTTTATACCAAAAACACAAGATTTGAAGCTTTGAAAACCATGTTTGAACTTCAAATACAGTTCTGGAAATTCCAGAATTCGTGATGTCCACTCGAGCGAGGGAAGCCATGCTCGAGTGTAGAAATCGAGCTCCCAGAAGTTTCTAAAATTTTATAGTCCACTTGAGCGACCGAAGTAGACCTCAAGCGAGGACCCTTTTTCTCAATTTTTCGCTCGAGCGACCATCGAGTGGGAATTTCTTGTATCTAGTACTTTTGCAGACCGTTCGAGCGACGGATGTCACGCTCGAGCGACCACCGATGTTTTGAACCCCCGCTCGAGTGTGGAAAGTTGCACTATCTTTATTGATGAGATTATTCGACTACATGGGGTTCCAGTATCTATTGTATCAGATAGAGATCCTAAATTTGTTTCTAGATTTTGGCATAGTTTGCAGGAGGCAATGGGAACAGAATTGAGATTTAGTACAACATTTCATCTACAAACTGATGGGCAAACCGAGAGAACTATTCAAACCTTAGAAGACATGCTTCGTATGTGTGTAATGGATTTTCAAGGAAGTTGGGAAACTTATTTTCCATTAGCCGACTTTGCTTCTAATAACAGTTTTCACACGAGCATCGATATAGCACCATATGAAGCACTATATGACAGGAAGTGTAGATCGCCAGTTTGTTGGACAGAAGTTGGTGATAGAGCTATTTATGGCACTGAACTTGTGCAAAAAATGACTGAAAAGATCAAAATCATTCAGCAAAGGCTCAAAACTGCATAGAGTCGACAGAAAAGCTATGCAGATCAACGAAGAAGGGACTTAGAGTACGAAGTGGGAGATCATGTATTCATCAAGGTGACCCCAATGAAGGGGCATATGAGGTTTGGCAAAAAGGGAAAACTGACTCCTCGCTACATTGGACCGTTTAAAATCCTTGAGAGATTGGGTCCTGTTGCTTATCGTATTGGCTTGCCACCGGGAATAGAACAAGTGTATAACGTTTTAGATGTATCCATGCTTCGTGGGTATCTTAGAGATCCGTTTCATGTGATTGATTACCACCGGATT